CCCCAAAACCCCAAAACCCCACAACATTAAGATATGCAAAGTTAGAGCAGGATTAGTTTAATTTTCTTATTAATAATTTGACTCTTAATATTAATTCACAGACAAAATATGTTATTATTTTGATTTAAATGTTCTTTCATCTCTTTATTTCCATTTTTAGGCAGAGCTACAGTACAATATTGCTTCTTACCAAGATCTAGGTAAACATAATGCATCTCTTTTTAAATGATACTTAGTCCAACCAAATCTCCTTCTTTGCTAGAAATAAATATCATGTTAGTAGGTTCAAATGTTATTTTTGAGATTGGAGAGGCAAATACTTGCATTTAATGTAATTTGTTTAGATTTATAGTATCAAAGACTAGTACCTAACCACTTTTTAGACCTATAATTAGATAGCCATTATCATATGGTCCATAGCCAATCTCAACTATTTCATCTTCCATTCTAAGCACCTTGATTACATCTGGTATTTATGAATCTAAGTTAATTTTTACAATGAAAGGCCTCACTTTTCCATCATATAAACACTCACCAGCAACTATTGCTTTTTTAAGGACTGTAGATTTACTTAAATCATATTCCTCTATTTTTCTATCAGACCATTGCAATCTAGGGAATTTTACCATCTTTATTGATTACAATACCAATCCATTGTTTTCCATTATTTGGCCAAGATCAACTCTGCTGATTGGCTTGCCAGATTTTTCTACAATGTCAATAAATGATCTATGAGTATATTCATAGGTAGACTGTTTATTTGGCCCAATTACTTAGTGATTTTTGTAAATAATGATGAAGAAATCTCCATAAAACTCGACAGACTTAGGTTAATACTCAAGTTCAAGAGTTGCTCTCTTAGCCATTTTAAAATTAGAAATGTTGCTTGATTTAAAATAGAATTGATTGTCCGTTGTTTGCTTAGATTTTAATTGAGACTAGCTTATATATGATTTTATTATGTAGATGCATAGTTTTTTCCCTTCTTCAAGTGTGAATAAATAAGTTCCAGTTGGATTATTGAACAAGAATGCTCTTAGCACATTTTCTTATAGTTGAAGCTTGCCGAATTCCTCAGTAATAAAAGGCATAGGCTCTTTTAGTAATATAATTTGCTCATCATCATTTTATTTTTGAAGAGCTTTAAGATTTTCTTCTCTTAGATATTAAAGAAATGGGTTTTTTTAATCTCCACTCTCTGTCATAATCATTTAATCATAGTTTGTTCTTTCTGAATCTCTTGGTAATGTTTCCTGATAATCTCCCAGAATTAATTCTTCCTTATTAATACTCATACTTTATCTTCTAGAGAAAATCTTATTGAAAAATTTTTTAAATCCACTTTAATTTTATTTGCCATCAGACTCCTCTTCATTATCAAAGCTATTGTTAGAAGTCAATGTTTGCTGATTTTCTTATGCTAATTTCAAAATCTGTTCAGTTTGTTTTGCATTACTTATCTTCGAGGATCTACCTGAAATAAGCATAACTGAATTTCTACCTGAATTATCATTAGCCTAAGAATTTAAACTTTATTTGGTTGGGACTAATTCTAGATTGTCATAAGACTTCTTTCTCTTTTCTTTGAAGTCACCCATTTTATATTTTTATATCAGATCCAATTAAATTTGCATCTTAGTTTCCTCTATCTTCCTACCTGCTTAATCCTTTTGGAAGTCTTTATTCTTCCTTAGTTTGAGTATTTTAAAATAGCTTTTTTATTCGAGTTTATTGAATGTAATCAAGAACACAAAAGATGGAACATGATCCTCAATAAACTGAATGTGCCTAATTTCCTCATCATAGGAGACACACTACTTATACAGTTCATATACATTTTTATTGTGGTCATAGCCCACTACAGAAAATTCACGTTTCGAACCGATAATCAACCTTTTCTTATCGAATTCAAATCTATTTCTGAAGCCTAAGTGCTTTCTCTAAGAAAAGCTTAAGTATTTTATAGGGAATTAGAATTATAACTCGATTTCCACATTAGGCTAATCATTTCTTCCAGGAATTTTTGATTGATCTTTCAATTTCCTTAGTTACGCTGTACTTAAACTTTTATTTAAAGGATTCAGTGCTGTATAATCAAAACTCTGAGTTCTATCTGATTTCAAGCTTAAATTCATAGTAGAGCTTCCGATACTTCTAAGTTTCGTTTTGTGAAGTTCAATTGGAATTACATCGTCATCAGCATCATGAGGTCCTAATCCACTATTGTTGGTGCAGCATAAGGAATTACCCATTAATATATTATTTAAATTTTATTGATAACTATTGAAATTTGATATTTTAATGTTTAATGAGAACATGGGGTTTTGGGGTTTTGGGGTTTTGGGGTTTTGGGG